TCTTCTGGTGTCATATAAAAATTAGCTAATGTTTTATTCATATTATTAAAACAGGAAAATCTAATGGTAATGAATTTCTGTGTGTCTGAATTACTGTCTTGTCTGAGTTGGTTTAGGTAATTGCATCAAATTTTTGCTAAAACCATTCACTATAAAGAGAATTTCTTTACTACTTTTTATGACCCAGAGATGGCCAAACGTTGTTTTCTTAAGTGGAAATTGCTTACCTGAAAGATGCATAAGCCTGTCACCTTTCTTTACTGTCAATCCACACTTAAAAATTGATGATAAATAAACCTAACAAGTATTATCAATAATTCTAATCAAGCTTTGAATAAATAAAACTGGCAATGATCTTCACCTGTAGATACACCACCTTTCCTCAGACTCGGTCGCATTTTACTCGTCTGTGTTTCCTGCTCTGGTGGCTTCACCTTGGCAGGGGGGTTGGAGCAGTGGGATGAAAAGCTCATGCGTCAAGACCATGACAAAGCACCCGTGCAGCGTTTTGCCCTCTCTCACGCACCCTTTCCCAGAGGCACCACCAGCATCACTGAGGGCTCAGCTGAGCCCTGAGGTGGGGCCATGGCGGAACCATCTGGAACCAGCGTGGGGGAGCCTTGACCTCGCCTCACAGCGGCCGCTGCCGACACCCGGGTACGGGCACCCAGTGCCCCTGTGCTCTTCTGACTGAGGGACCTTGTGCTTTGAGAAAGCTGCTCCTTTCCCACACAGAAAAAATGCATTTTGTGTATTTTTTTTTCCTGGGTGAAGCCTGGGTATGAGGAACATGTAGAAAAACCATCTGTTGAAACAACTGGAAGAATTCTGTGAGAAACGTTCTTATCAGCAAGAAGTTGGAAATTAAAATTAGAAGGCAGTTAATGACTAAAGAACCTGCATTAGACTTTGAAGATAATTAAGTACTAAGAGATATTCCAGATTACTTATGAAAAACTTTAAATTTATGAAGTAATTTTGTGTGGGCTATTGGCTGGCTGGCAGCAAAGTAAAAATAGACATTTATATGCAGAGAAGGGAGGTGGCTATCCAGAATCGTTTCACCAAAAGCAATAAATGAATGAAAACAACCATTCTGTGAAGAGAAACATCTGAAATTACTTTAAGTGATGGTAAGAATGAGACTGGTTATCTTTTCCTGTAAATGTTGTTGCTGACTGCAGAGTGGAAAGGAATCGAGACTATATAAAATGATGCAGAGTGCTTAAAACACGTTTGCGCAGCTCTGAATAAGCTTACTGAACCTCTAGTATCATTATATTTGGAGTGACAAGAAAGATCCTCGCTTCAGATATGAGGAGGGAAATTGGACGGGAAGCCAAGAAAGCCCTTTTGAGAAGGGAGAATATTGAATAAGACTTTGTCTAGACAAACAGGCTAAAATCTATTACTGCCTGCAGTTTTCAGTTTTATATTGCTTTCCCCTGTTTTATTGGTGTGCTTAATTTTATCAGTGTTTCTCAGCTATATTAGAAGCAATAGCCAAAGTCTGCTTTGTATCCTGTCATGGAGACTTGTGTTGTGAGGTGTAACAGTTCTCATAAACCCTGGATTATTCTTTGTAGTTTGCATATATACTACTGTCAAAACCGAAATTGGGATTTAGCCTCAAGTGCTCCTGAAAATTTGATTGGTTAGATTATGATGAACATAACTTCAACAACATGAACATAATTCCATAACTTTTATATTGGAACATTGAAAGCGTAGTCAGTCTTATCAGGCTTTCACATAATTAACAGACAGAGAGCTCTGCAGATTTTTTTTCTTTTGGTCAATTTGTCCAAATCTATCTTTATGTCTACCACTTTTCCTTAGAGTTACGTTGTTACAATCAAGTAGGAACTTAGATACTTTATGAATGTTCAATTACTCTTTCTTGCTATCAAAAGAATGAATGCAGTATCTTTCATACATCAGTGGAGTTTTACATTAAAACTAGATAGCATTTCCTGCCTTTATTGAAAGTCTGAAATCTCATTCTTCTGATAGTTAGGCACAATCTAACTTTCCACCTGATTTTATTTACAGCTTGTTCAAAGTAATTCGGGTTTTGTGCCAATGCTGTCTCTTACTTGAACGCTTCTTTGTCTTGCATGTGGTTTTTTTTTTTTAAATAACAATATACATTTGTTGCTGTCTTGTTGCTTCTTTGCTTTGTTTGTTTGTTTTGGGTTTTTTTTTGGTTTGTGGGTGGTGGGGCTTTACAGATATTTTGGTAGGGTTTTTTTGATTGGGCAAGATACAAGGCAGCTTCTTTCACAAACTAGTCATGCAAAGATAGATGGTCAGAATTTTGGTGCTGCAGCATTTTGTTTTGAAAAGACTGAGATAGAATAGGTTTAAAGGAGTTGGTGAGTTTAACCCATAATGCTTAGGACAAGCCTGGAAATGATTGTACAAAGACTAATAATCTTAATGCCATCTTAATAAAATTAAGCAGGGATTGTGTAACCATCGTTATGGACCTGTCACGCCAACTTTTTTGACCGGTTGGTCCCAGATGCAGTGGACTTGGCAATGGTAGAGTACAACTATTTCAGTCATTAATAAGAATCTCCTATTCTCTTCCTTAATCTGTGCAATTCTGGGGGAAAACCAAAACCAAACAAACGCTATTGTTAGATCAGCCTTTGCTTTAGATGACTTATAATTTTGATAAAGCAGCTGGAGTAGTTTTTTATATTTAGCAAAGCCTTTGTTCTTTCCAGAGAGCAGTATAGTCACTTAAAATTCAGAGATAGATTAAGAGCAAATTATCTTAAATTTGAAAATGAATTTGCTGGAATTTCACAGTGAAATATTGCTATTATTCCATTTCCTAAAGCAATTAACATAGTTTTGATGAGTCTACATTTATTAAGATAATGTGTCCAGCTCTGGAGCCCTTAGCACAGGAAAGCCATGGACCTGTTGGAGCAGGTCCAGAGGAGGCCATGAAGATGCTGGAGCCCCCCTGTGAGGACAGGCTGAGAGAGTTGGGGGGTTCAGCTGGAGAAGAGAAGGCTCTGGGGAGACCTTAGAGCAGCCTCCCAGTACTGAAAGGGACTGCAGGAAAGGTGGGGAGGGAGCCTTTGTCAGGGGGTAGGGGGATAGGACAAGGGGTAACGGTTTTAAACTAAAAGAGGGTAGGTTCAGAGTAGATATAAGTAAGAAATGTTTTATGATGGTTGTGGAGAAGCACTGCAATGGGTCACCCAGAGAGGTGGTAGATGTCCCCTCCCTGGAAACATTCATGGCCAGGTTGGATGGGGCTTTGAGCAACTGGATCGAGTTGAAGGTGTCCATGCCAATGGCAGGGGGGTTGGGCTAGATGGCCTTTAAAGGTCCCTTCCAACCCAACGTTCTATGATTCTGTAATTCTTTGTCAGAGTTTCCAACTGTATCTAAATCTGTATCTAGCTTTAATGTAGTTCAGTAGTAAGACTGCATTTTCCTTCCTAGTCCACATCGCATCACATGGATCCTAAGTTTACTACGTTGACAGTAGAGTACAGAGTTAAACAAGCCCTCGGAATTGAAGAGGCATGTGCCCTTGTAAAGCTTCAGCTGTGCCAATGCCACATGAATCAGTTGTCTTCACATCAGAGTATTTGTTTGCTTTTAAGCTGTTAAGCTATATATCTAGTAAAAATAAGACTTGGGAAAGGCTTGCAAGAACAATTGCTAGAGAAGTGAGGATAAGCCGTGAGTAGATGTTAAAACGGACTGTGACACTATTTACAAATAGTGCATGTGAGTAGATAGTTTACTCATAACAAATACTCCTACTCATACCCAGCACACTGAATTATAGAAGTGGAATGTATTTATAAGCATAACAAAATACAGAGAGGTGTGATAACAAGCCATCCATTTTAATAAGGAATTAGAATTCTGACCTAATTCTTTCCCAGTAGGATTTATTACTAACTTATAAATAACTTACAGGTATAAGAAATGGCAATGAGGAATAAATTAACAGAATAAACAAAATGCTCCGAGACTATCAGCCCCTGCTGTTACCATATTCTCAGGGAAAGACTGGAAGAGAGTGGTATTAACATCTGTGCTCAGGTTTATTTTCTGGCTGGCTTAACTCCATTAAAGAGTTGAGTCTGGGGATGGATAGGGTAGGTGAAAATGATAGTTGTGTGTCTGATGTTTATTGCTGTGCTTCACTGATGTCTTGGTGAGGGGAGAGAACTGCAGGTATAGCATGCAGTTGCAATCTACATTGACCTTTCTATTACCTAAGAAGTTTTGGCATGGTTTGCCATAATGACTGATTGAGTTTTGGTAACTCGTGACTTTCCATTGCAAGTGGATCGGAGGAACGAGAAATACAGTGTGATCTCTCTTTCCAGTTTTTGGAAGTAAAGGAAGTCCATACAAATCTTCAGCTGTGCATGTTGGCTTTCTGTTCAACAGGTGCTTTCATACACTGGGATGTGAGTGTGCATGTGTATATAACGGCGTCTGATGTTCTGTCCTTCCACACATTATTAGAAAAGCTGGAGAACTGTCAAAATTGCCTACCATAATACTTCATGCCATCATCCCGGAGAAGAGTATTTGTTTACTGCTTTTAGCTGAGCACTAATAGATGTGTCAATTATACTGTGTTAGTTCTATACGGGTCCACTCTAAATGCGCTTGAAAAAAAGTAAAGAAACAATTTCTAACCAAATCTTCACATGATTAGTATCAAATTTGCAGGGGGCCTTTTTTTTTTTTTTCTTATACTCTAGTCATTTCATTCTTCAGGGAATATGGCATTTTCAAGCTGCCAAGGAGTATCTTCATTTGAATGTACATCTGTCTTTCTCTTTTGCTTAGATTGAAAATCTGCTCTGAGCCTGGTCCAAAAGAACGGGCTGTAAGTGGTATCTTTGGCAGGGTCTGGTTACAGCAGCACTGATCTGAGCTATATTTTTCTGACTGTTTGCTCACTATGATAGTGTACTAATGAGTTTATTCCCTTCTCTTTGTTCATGCAGCTTGAAGTTGAGGTCACAGATATAAGTGGGAAAACAATTGATGGTCCAGTCCGCCTAGATATTTCTGTTATCGATCAAAATGATAACAGGCCAATGTTCAAAGAAGGACCCTACGTTGGTCATGTCATGGAGGGATCCCCTACAGGTAAGTCCATACCAATCGTATCTCTGTAACTAATGCCTGAACAAATTCTGTGTTGATAAATGCATTATTATTATCATATTGTACAACTTTTCCTGCTGACTTTGTGGCCCACTGAATCCTTCTCCTGCATAAAGAGGTGGGAGCAGCCCTTTAGGACAACAGGTAATGGGTTTTGAAAAACGGTCAAGTCTCTACAGGAGAAAAAAAAAAAAAAAAAAAAAAAAAGAAGAAGAAAAGTAACATAGTATGGAATGAAAGCATTGATTTAGGTTTGCACTTTTTTATTAATATCTGGAATCAGCAAAGACAATTCCTAGGATATCATTCAGATTACAAACCAAATAACACGTACAATTTCTGTTCAGAGTGGGAATTCCATCTTTGTTTTTGTAAGGCTGGCTGCTGGAAGGGTCATTTTTATTTGTTTATATAGCATGAGGCTGGGCAAATAATAAGAATAAATGGAAAGCACGCTATGAATATGCTAATACTGTAGGGCAAATTGAAACACTAACAGTTACTTGTGTAAATGCAGATACAACAGTTGCAACAAAATAAAAACACATTTCAAGAATTAAAATTAGTAATGAAGATGTTCTGGTTAAATACATTGTTGATTTTGTCTGATGACGAAAATTCTGTAAGATAAGTTGTTCCAAATTTCAATTTGGGTAGAACCATCATAGCTAAACTCTTCCTGCAGATGAAGGCTGAATTAGTTTTTCTTTAACTGTTATCCTCAGCTGTTGTGAATTTTATTGTGAATTATTAAACAGCTGTTGCATTCCTCTTGAGATGTATTTCCACTGCATTCATAAGCAGTAATTGCATGATCAGGTCATGTTATGGAGTTAACCTGGATCTCGGTAAAAGAAATCTAAGACATAGAAGCTGCTATTAATATCAGTGGAGTGACAGTGATTTAATTGAGATCAGAGTTGTGGGTTATATATTTGTACGTCTTTCTATACATCATTGAACACAAGGCCTTACCCTCCTTTATCTAGTTGAAGCTGTGAGTATAGGCATAAGGTTTTGGCTGTATAGGCAAAATGAAATATTTGGGAAAAAAAAAAAAGGAATCAAGTATATCCTATTTTTATGAATATTTAATATTCATTGAAGCTTAATGTGGTGACAGGTGCTCTGTTTACTCTGAACAAGGGTAGACATTGCCTTTCACTGCCTTGTTTTACATACTGATAGGACTAGAAGTTAGTCTTTGTCCTTATTTTATTATTTATGTAGTTTCTAGTAATCATGTAACCTTTTTTGCGTTTTCACATGTAGTTGCCAGTGTTTGACAAGCTGTAGGTATGAAATGCATTATGAGCCACTCTTTAATCAGATTAAAATGAGTTTCCAGGTAAACGTTCATTTTCTGTCCTTGTGACAAGCTTGTAATGAACCAACTGACGATCTTTTCATTCAAACAGGAATTGTGTTTCATACTTGTGGGTATGGCTGCAAGTGGAACACTAACTCTTTTCTGTTGTAGGTCACTAGTACATTCTTAATTTATTTCATATATTGATCATTTATTCAGAATTCAAAAGAAACTTCCTTAGACTGTCCTACTTCCCCTTCACTCTGTGTTGTAACAATAATTTCATAATTATCTGAAAGTATATTGTAACAAATGTCAGATATTCCTTTTCACAGTCAGTAGTATGTACCAGAGTGTGACTATCTATGGGATTGAGGGACCAACTTCATTACGTTTTCATTTAAACTAAACCTTCTTGTCATGACCACGTAGATACACATACCCAGACCACTGAGTAGAAGGGCGTAGGTTTAGTAGATTCGCATCTCCTAAATCCAGAATTTCAGTAAAAGAAAGTGGCGCCAAACAGCTCAAACTCTGCAGGGTTTAAGCTTAAATGCTGCTGGTAGTGTGTGAGCTCTGGGTGTGAGCTGTGAGCTCCTGGAAGTCTGTCACTGCCCTCAGCTCTCTACACCAAAGAAGTTTACAGCTTTTATGTACGACGTGTCCCTCCCAAACTATATTGAGTTTAATGTTTAACTTTGTTAATTCCAGGTTATGGGACAATATTTAACTGTTTGTTACCTCCTGTATGTTCTTTCTTTACTCAAACTCTATAGCAAGTTTATTTTCTCTGCCAAGGATTTTTACTTTTTTTATTTAACTGGCAGTTCCCTATTTTTGCTCATCTATAAACTAACCCTGCTTTTCCTTTTTTTCCCTCTTTCTATTGAAGCTTGTTTCTGATTCAGTAGACATGTTTCTCAGTGCAGCTTCCAGTGATTCTTCTATAATGGTTTCCATCCATTTTCTCTTGCCGCACTTTGGTATTTATCCATGTAACATTTGGCATTTTGAATACCTTACCTGTTAGTCAAAGTTTGAATAATTTTTCTCAACTTTATCTTTTTCTTATCCTCTCCCTCTTTCCCCCAGGTATTCATCTCATTAAACTTCATAACCTCATTTTCCTGGTGTCAAGAACACCAATACCCGCAAAATTACTTTGTGCAAAAGTGAACCTGTAGAATCAGTGTTAGGTAGAATTTGACTATTTCTCCATGCAAATGGCATCCAGTCAACCAAGGTTTCATGTTGTTTACACCTGTTTTCCATAGTTCTTCAAATTTTATGGTATATGTCTTACAATTATTCATCAGGTTCTGCTGTCTTGCTGCTCCCAATCAATAGTTGTACTGCACAGCTTGATAGAAATCTTTATGTGCGTGTGTTTGCATGTATGATTCCTGATTCCTTCTTTTTGTATTAAAATTGTATTGTATTTCTTTTTTGAAGTTCCAAGAGAAAGGCTTTGCGTTAGATGCATGACCTTATTTTCTATCACAGCCATCTTCCTTCAAGCTATGAATCAAACCCATTTACTGAAATAGTCTTCTGCTGAAAAATAAAAAACCTGCTGGCATAGGCACCTTGTATCTGTCTTCATGATCACTGGGTCAGACTGCAAATGTCCATGGATTGCAAGAATTCTGTGACGAGAGATGTATATTTATGTAAAGATATACTGCACTGTGAAACTTGTCAAAAGGATTTTGAGGCCTTGTTAAGGGATTTTTATGATATTACGCCCTCGTTTAAAATTATTCATTACTGGATTCCTGGGTGTTTTCCTGTGGGGCCATAATTTCAGTAGTCACAAACCCAAAGGAGTTTTCTAGTGACTTTCTCCTTATTTATTGGCTCTAAAATTGTACTTACACATTGTCTATTATTCATCAGAAATATCAGAGATTTACTAATAAATAAGTCTTGGAGAGAGTTAGCATCACAAACTTAAATGTATAAATCTGAATTTTAATATTCAAGTGAATGTTTGTATTGGACTTTCTTGATGTTGCTGTAAGCTTTTGATTGTTTTTCAAAATTACTTTACTCTTTAATGACTTGAAGGTTTAGTTCCTTAATTAGGGAAAGACACAGAAGTTACAGTGAAATGTTGTGCCAAGCACGTTTTAAGGGGACCCTCCTTTCTCTGCCATTGGAGATGGGTACAAGTAAGAGAAAAAAAAAAAAGAAAACATGGAGATTGGGTGTAATTTTTTGTATTTATTTAATCTGTCTGTGAATAATTACAGAATCTTTTGTGTGTAGTCCCAGAGAGGATGTGTTTTTGTGGTGCGTTAACACATTTTCTGTGTTACTAAGGTCATTGATCTTTTTCTGTGTGATTTTTTTTTTTTTTTTTTTTTTTTTTTTTTTTTTTGAACTCACAGTAAATACCACTGGTTATTTGGACATCTACAATTTGTGTGTCATCACTTTACTAGAGAGGCAAATACCTGGGCGTAATTACTGAGAATATAAACTTGTATATTCATTACATCAATAAATACTCATACGGATTTTAAGCTGGGGGATGCCGTGGCTTATAATTAATGATAAAAATATGTGAATAATAGGTGATCTAGTAATGTATTTCTTTCCTGATATATCTTTCCTGGAGAAATTTCATTATATAGTTAGTTACAGTTAATTAGCTGTTTTCACGGAAAATTGTCATATTCCTGGAAATAGCCTAGAGTCAAATTCTAACAAAAGTACATTTCAATATATGCTTAAAGTGACTGTAGATGTTTTCAGATTTCTGCGAGGAGGTCTTTTCCTGGACAAACTGAGAACTTGGAGGCTATTTATTTAGTAAATAAATAAAGACCAATAGAGAAAGAGTTTGCAATTTTTTTTTTAATTTATTAAGACTAATTTCTGTGTGAGACTGAAGTCAGCATATATATATATCAGGAAAATAATAGTTGAACCTGATTCAGTGACACCTATGGCAGTTTTTCTACTGACTGTAATGGGTTTCGTGTTAACTGTACTGCTGAATTCTCACGTTTTTGTTTTATGAGTTATGACCTAGTTTATTTCCTATAATCTCTGATCTATCCAGCTGCCAACTCTAGGGTTTTCTAGGTGTCCCGCTGCAGATTTACTTCAGTACATTAATGAGAATGACTGTAATCTTATGGATTACATAGGCAGGCAGAAACATTTGGACATCTCGGTCTTTGAAAGTTGGAAAGCGAAGGCTGGTTAAATGAACTTGGCAGCCATCTCATTTCACTTGCTGGAGGCATTTAACAGAAATTATTTTAAACATATTTGACGTTATGTGACTTGTAACAATATGCTGCAAGCCCAGTGGGGTAAAATCTTAACTGCAGTGGTTGGGAAAATTGCTTGAGAATTGCATTTAAAAAAAAGTAACTCGTTTTCCATGATGTACAATAGCCTGGATACATTGCATTCTAGCCAGGGAGCCCTAAACCGGGACTGATAGATGTCTATAAATAATTGCTAGAAATAAAGGGACATTTGAAGACATTTAGAGAGGAAAGAGAAGGAATTAAGAAGAGTAGCCTGGAGGGTTGTTCAGTATCATAACATAATAATTTGTAAAAATGGATAAAGCATGAGGAAGGGTCTGAAGTATCATTGATAGCTATGCATTGAATAACAGTGTGTGGCTATCATTCAGATAAATGAAAACTTT